CTCATAAACCATATGAAGAAATCAATACTTAAAGAAGAGGGACTGGTGATCGGATCAAAGAGCAGGTCCCGAATCCCTTATGGAATGTAGCAATTATATCAGCATTATGGGCTCCAAGTCTTTGTTATTCTGAAGTTTGTTGCAATAACGTTGTCGAAGTCGGGTAGAGTAACTGTGTAAAGTATCTGGAACTGAAACATTACGTACAGAGGCCCAAGGCTATGGTCTGAGCCCGACCTAGATCGACCAAGGGAGTAGAACTCTTTTGAGTCATGGGAACAAAATTCAGCATCACCCCCATGTATTATGACGATGTATTGTCTTGTATTAAAACTTGTGTTGAGTCTTCTGTTGTGCCATGTGTTGTGTCTTATTAGTTGTAAGGGGAAAATGTAGGATGCAAAGGAACCATATGATACCAGGGAGAGGTAATACTCCAACCTTGTAGCGTACACGAGAAATAATCAATAACAAATATTTGAAAGAGGTAACAAAGTTTCAAGGAATATACAAGATTGGACTACACCATGACAATTGAAATCTTTGAACTTAGAAAAGGAAGGAAACAAGAGAAATTAATATAATATCAAACATCTCGCTTTATTATTTACTCAGAGTATAGTGCTGAAAGTCAGCTCTCCCTTAGTGGAGGGAACTGTCCAACAAAAGGGGGAACCCCAGAGTTTCCTAAAGGAATGAGTCTTATGTGTCTCCGTCTGCTTAGATTTGCAGATGTGTCACCAGTCCGCGTGAATTGTGTAACGGACCTGCCGGGATGGCGGTCCGTCAGGATGGACACGAAGTGTTGACGAAGGAGGAGATGGAGATGGTTGGAAGGGACAGCGCAGCTCCGACCCAAACTCAACACATACGTACTCTAAAATGTGTGGAATGAAGAATGAAATGAAAACAGACTGCAGTTGGGGTATACCCCCAGCAGGCTGACTGGACTGGACTAGACTGGCCTGATACCAAAGTGGTACCGAGAAGGAATGGACTGGACTGAAACAACACACGGCCGGTGGGGTCAGGCCACGACCTGGTCCCACAGGCCGAACAGAGAAATAGCCTGATAGGCCTTGCCTATAGGCCAGGGCAGATAGAGACTCGTTGCATGATCCTCAGACCTGTAGTGGATTGTAAGAGTCATAAACACGTTATCCGCAAAAGCAGCGAAACTCTGTAATAAAGAAAACTGAGAAATCTAGGATGCGGAGCAAGCTCCATGCGGAGTCCATGCGATGCAGCCTAAGCTACATAACGTCGAATGAAAAACAAATGTCTGGTATACACATC